TCAAAAGCCCAGCTTGTGTCGAACTATACAGAATGAGGGCTCCTTTTTTCCACATGCATGCTCATCGCTTGGTTGCATGTAGCAGGAAGGAAAGGTTTGAAGCTGTAAACCATATTTGCTTACCTAGCAGTAAGACTGACTGAAAGCATCAAGGACTTCCGAGTAGACGTACGAATGGGAGCACAATGAATGAGTCATCATAGACTTATTTGATGGAATGCATGTAGATTTTCTCTGCTGATGTGCTGCCACTCATTGAGCCTTGAGTAACCAGTGTGTATTAGATGTAGACACAGCATAGAGCTATTCCTTGTACATGGGCAGCAGCGGGATTATACTGTTTTAGCCATTGAGCCAAAGGCCTGCCAATTTTACTCTCATAGCAACTCTATAATGTAAGTTGAGCTGGGAGTCCTTTTCTGAAAGGGTTTTTTTTTTCAGCAGAGAGCAAAAGATAAGACAATTTGGGCAGCCATTTATCAGGGAAGTTTCAGTTGTGGATTCCTGCATAGGCAGGAGGCAGGACCAGAGATGACCTTGGGCGAGATCCCTGTCAGGTCTACAATTCCATAATTCTATGACTGGCCCAAAGACACTCAATGAGCTTCATGGCTAAGTGGGGATTTCAATGCTCCTATTTGGAGATTTCAACCAATGCATCACACGGATTCTCAGTACCGCTCTGAATTCCAACAGACCAAACCTTGAGCCACTCTCACAGGTTTCCTGAAAGTAACTGGCTAGGTCTACAGTACTTGGAAATGTAGATCTAGGTATCTCAATTCTACACGAGTATTCGATGTGCACATGTGAATCTGCCCTCTTAAGAGAACAGTGCCCCTTTGGGAAAACAAACCAAAACACACATATCTTTGTTAAATGCATGCAGTGACTCTTGCAGACATGAGGACATCTGATTCTTGAGGGCTGGGTCACATTTCATTTTTCTTAGTAAAAGGTCGTCCATCTTGGTTTCCTGATTTGCATATCCAAGGCACAAAAGATAATCAGGCAGGGAGCATACAGTATTTGTTTTTTTCTACAACAGAAATGTACGCATGAAAAAAGCCAATCGGTGTGAAACTGTCCTTCGACTGAACAATGAGCACTATTTTAATGCAAGGCCACAGAGAACTGCACCAAACGTCAGCCCTTGTGTTTCCATACTGAAAGGGACCAACCACCTTCTCGCCAAAGGCCTTGGCCCCATCCCATCAGGACGAGTCTTCCTGGCCTTGCTTCCTGTTTACAGTGTATCCATTCCAGTGTAGCCCTTTTGTGTAGTTAGATGTAACTTTTTTGTACATGTGAAATATTATTGATTATATTGTAAGCCAGTGCCTCCCTGCACCATCCACCATGAACTGTACAGAATTTCTACTAATGGGAATGGGGGGAAATAAACCAAACCAAAAAAACCTTACTCCATCTGAGTATCTGACTTACTCCTTCCTGTTCATTTTTGTAAAGGAGAAAAAGCCACTCTGGCTTCCACTTGCTTTTTATGTCCTTGGTCAAATGCTACAGATTTGGCGGGTATGGGATGAAGTGCAGTTGTAAGGGGAAATTTAAGTCAGGGGTTCCAAAGAGAGGACTGGGGAGGATGAATGTCTCCCAATTGCACACCACCAATCAGGGAGCACCCCTTCACACTGCTGGCAGAGAGGCCTCTGCTGAATGAACCGCACAGGTTTTTCAGAGGACATGGCAGGAGTTGAATTGCAACCCAATGATGGAGCAGCTGTATTTTGCCCTGCCTGCTGCAGTTTTAATACACATACAGCCAAACAAAAAGGGCAGAATCCAGCATCCAGACACACAAATCACCTCCACTACCATTTCTATGCAGTGAAAGGTTGACAGACTCCTTGAATCTACTCTGTTTTTTTTTTAACCAAAAGTCCACGAGCTATTTAGCCGAGCCAGGTGCATAATGCACACAGAACTAAAGAACTGTCTGCCTCCAACCTTGATATGTATCGAAGACCTGACTGAGTTCACAGTCTTTTCATATAAAATTTGGAGGGGAAAATCTTTTAATCTTTAAACAATTGGGAGTTTTTTAAAAAAATCCTAACAATTTACTGCAAGCCGCCCAGAGACCTTTGGGTAGTGTGGGCGGCATATAAATTAAATAAATAAATAAATAAATCTACACAAGTAGAAACTGACTTGCCTTCTGCCCACCCTTGCTATAAATGAGTCTCTTGAAGAAACTAGCTAATTCTGGATACAAAAACCCTTGTGAACACAGTGGCGAGAACCAGAGCTGGAGTGGAAGTTGCTTGCTGCATTCAGACATGACTACCAGCTGTTTCCAAGAATGTCTTCAAACATTATGTGTTGCTAGGCCTGATGGCAATGTGTGCACTTGTGAAACATCGCCCATTTTAAAACTGATGCAGCTTGTTCTGAGAGTCTTTGGAGGCAATTTGTGATCTTCTGCTATGACAGGATGGTTGCAGTACATTCCACACTGCATCTGTTCAAAAATGCCCTACAGGAAAGACACTCGCCAGATGACAGAAGCCCCATTCAGAAATGAAGATTTGCACACAGCTGTTATTGCAACCTGTGCTAGAAGTGTGAAATGCAGCCCTAAGCACAGGTGCTCCCAGTGCAAGAAATTGGTGGGGGTTACAATTTACTCCTGTGCTCTAGTAGTCGGCCCAAGCTGCTAACTATACAGCAAGGTGTACTTTTAAAATGCTGTGTTCTTCAGTCTATATGTGTTATACATAGTACAACAGAGACAAACATTTAAATGGAAAACAATCAAGGCTTGGTCTATGACTAGCCATTTTGGGGGAGAGGGATTGTCCTTTACACTAGCAAAAAAACACTTTTGGGTTCAGTTTCTACCTAGCATTTAGCTGTTAAGAAGCATGTAAGAGACTTATCAGGAAAAAAAATAATGGGATAACCTACTTTCTGTTAGCAGGCTAAGTTTTACCAGTGTTGGTTGTTGTGGGTTTTTCGGGCTCTTTGGCCATGTTCTGAAGGTTGTTCTTCCTAACGTTTCGCCAGTCTCTGTGGCCGGCATCTCCAGAGGACAGCAACCTGTGCTCTGGTGTAGTTGGCTTGGGTCAAACCTTTGCGTATACATTTTACCAGTGTTATTTTTTAAATTTAAATCATCCATAGTGACCTTTCACTAAATTGGGCAGTACAGAAACCACATAACGATCTGGTGCAGTGGTTAAGCTGCATTACTGCAGCCAAAATCCTGCTCATGAACTGGGTTCAATCCCAGACAGCAAGCTTGAGGTGGACTCATCCTTCCATGCTGGGGGTGGGATGTGCACCCTGCATAAATTGTGAACTGCCCCAGAGAGTGTCTTAAGTGCTATATAATCAAAATATTTTGCTGTTTTGCTTCGCTTCACATAAAATTAATTAATCAATTAAACTTCAAATATATGCATTTGCAAATGAAAAGCCCAGATAGCTCTTATTTAGGGTTTTCATTTCAAAATGATTGAACACAGTTAAAAGCAATGTGAAGGAAGACAGATTTCAACTATTCTTCTTCCTCTTTCCTTAAGTAGTAGCAAATCTGATCAGACCCATTTTTAGTTTCTTAAATGGTAAGTACACAAACATTCAAATTTCTTTCTTCTTTGAAGGTCTAGAAGTGACCTGAGATGCTCTGGGCATGGTGCATGGTGGAGTTCATACTTGCCTGAGAAAGGGAAATGGTTGTGGGGGAGATAGCATAAATACATACAAGAAAAGCAAACACTGTAATTCACTATATTAAAGTATGACATCCATTAATAAAAACAAGAGGCTGTAAAAATAAGCAAACTGGCCAGCCTCTGCAGTTGCTTATTCTTATTAATGAATTTCTACTGTAAATTCACACATCACAGAAGCCAAGGTTTGAGGGAAAGCCGGACGCTATTCTATCAATCCTGCTTGCCATTGGCATACAGTTTGTTTAGCAGCCCCTGGACCACTGCCTCCCCTTTTCCCCTCTTCACTGAAAAGGAGACGTAATTCCAGGAAGTGTGATGGCCATTTTAAAAAGGTGCACTTGAATACAAATCAAGGTTTTAAAAGAAGTTTTTAGAATCAATGCATTTCTCAGAAGAGGTGGTATAGGCTGCTGTGTATCCTGGAGGATGTCACTGGCCCTCACTCCTGTTGGGTTGTTCATTCATGGTGAGCATAATGTATGAAGCCTGCAGCAGCCAGTATTCCAGCTTGTATCCTTTACAGCACTGGTTCTTAACCTTGGGTTACTCAGGAGTTTTGGACTGCAACTCCCAGAAGCCTTCATCACCAACTGTGCTGGCTGGGGTTTCTGGGAGCTGCAGTTCAAAAACATCCGAGTAACAAAGGTTAAGAACCACTGCTTTACAGCACGACAGAGAGAACAACAGCAGCAGCAAACCTCAGACTCTTTGCCTGGTTTCTTGGAGTGGAGAAAGCCAGAGCACTGACTGCTGCCAGTTTTCATAAAGTCCAATGTCTGCTTAGCACCACCTGCAAATGGACCATCCTCAATATCCTGGACATCAATCTTACCATCTAAGTATCTATTATATATACACGCTGTATATTGCTTATTTTCTTGTGTGTACCTATGGTATTTCACACACACACTTTTCTTTGGTGAATTAGAGCATTCCCTCTTCTGGTTGTGTGTGAATGTATGAGCTAGGATACAAAACACATACCTCACTCTCCCAGCTATGGGCAAACTTGCCTTTTTAGACTACAACTGCTGAACTGCCAGCAAGGCTAGTGGCCATGGTGACTGTGGGATTTTGGGAGCGGTAGTCCAAAAAAGTAACTTTTCCCATTTCTGTACTCTCTTCTGATGTTGCCGCCTTCCCTGCAAGGGAAGGAAATACGAAGGAAGCTTTAGATTGAATCACTGCCTTGTATGTTCTGAGCACCCATGAGAAACTACCAAATGCCCAAGGAAGAGAGACATTATACTAATTTGAGACTGACTTAAAATTTAAGCCAGTCCCCTGCAGGACGCCACAGAATTATATTTCCAGTCCAGGTTTATTATAAATATTATTTTAAAAATCTCATTGAATCCTCAACACAACAAAGGAATTTGCAACCTGGAAGGAAGATACAGTCACGGTGAGAATCTTTTGAGAAGAGAATCACTGCCCAAGCCCTGCCCTGTCTCCAAACCATGTTGACTGGGCAAGATTCATGCTGAAAACTAGCTGGTCCCTGCCATCTTGAGTCCTAGGTCAAGGAGGCTCTGAGCTGATGTCGCCTCATTGAGTGCTGAGAAGAGATGCCATTTCCTCCTGTCCGAGGTCGCTGTTTCCCCAAACCCACTTCTGGATGGATCCCCAGGCTGGAGCTGAGTTCTGAAGATGCTGCGTGGTTCCGGAGCCGATGTACAATTTCTTTTCGCCACCCAGGTGCTCCGTGCAGAGAGGAGACGTCAGTGAGAATCTTCTCCCTGAAGGGGCCAGTCCTGCTCCCGACTCAACAAGCGGGGGAGCCTCTGAAGGGGTGGCGGCCGCCTGGCTGTGAAGGTTTCCACCAGAGCGCTGTACGCCCTTGGCTTGGACACTGTTGAGCCAAAGGAAGGCAGGGCCTGTGCAGGAACAAGGAGAGGCTGTGTCTCACCTACAATGGAGGCACCTCACAACAAGAGGCAGTGGTCACTACTGGTCACCCAGTTGCTGCAGCAGAGTCCGGCGCCGACGTTCCAGCTCCCCCTCACTGAGCTCCTCGCTTTCTGAGGTGTCCCAGCCACTCTGTCAGGCAAGGAGAGCATGAGAAGCTTCTGATGCCCTGGGCTCGCCCCACTATGATCTCCCCATGAGGCCCAGGCTTGTCTTCCCTGAAATGGGTCTGTCTTCCTCTCTCACACTCCCACATGGCCCCTCTTCGGCTGCCAGCCCCCGACGGTCTGCTTCGTGCCCAGCCTTACCCGCTCCCTCCTGGTGCCCCGGGGAGGGGAGTGGCCTCTTCCCTCAGGCCGCGGGGGGGCCTTCTCTCGCTCCCACTCCTCAGGTCGGCTCGGCTCCTTCTTGTGCTCACCTTCGCTTTCAGGGCTGTTCTGTAAAAGAAACCGCCTGCCACTGTGGAGGGCAAAGAGGCTGGGAGGCTGCAGGGCAGCTGGCAGCTGAACTGGCCCAGCTGTTACCCACCTGTCATAACAAGGAAAACAACCCAAATGGGACAGACCGGGCAATAAAGAAGGACATGTCCCAACTTGGAGCCCCTCCCCGGGGGGGGGCTGGACTATGACTCTCATCATCCATGAGGAACAGAGCGCACGATGGCTGAGGATGACAGAAGCCATAATCCAACAGATTTGGCCAGCATGAGGTTGAGGAAAGCTGCAGAAAAAGTTCAGGGGTCAAGACCACTCTGAGACGAAACAATCAAATCCTATGCTGAGGAAATCAATGGAAGATGCCACTTTTAGACAGAACGGCACACAACCGCTGGCTTTTGCCTCTTCAGCACATGTTATTCTGCTCCTGTTGGGTTTCCCCAAGCAGCGGGGGTTGTGGCTGCTCCCATTCATGAGCTGCAAACAGGCTGCTGGTTCATCTAAAGTAACTGTACCTTGCCTTCTAAGCACAAACAGGCTCTAAGTGACTGATAATCACAGTGATTTAAACATGAACAACAGAATTAGCAGCGACTAAATTGGGGGGGGGAACCCTGTAAAACCAACAACTGTAAAACATTAACATTACTGTCATTTAAAGACTTTGTATGTAAGAAATTCAGTCTAGTATCAAAGTGGATGTCAGGTGGGCAACCCTGGGGGAGTATGAGCAGGGGAGCCACTGCACACAAGGCCCTGTTCTCTGGTGCCCACTTGCCTAACCTCCACTGTGGGGAGCGGCATCCAGAGAAAGGACAAAGTGATAGAGAGGACACTGAAGCCTCACCCAGTGGCCCCAAAACTCTTGCTCAGCACAGAACTCTTGTAGTGTCTGAGATGTCATCTAGCATTGACGGCCTTCATTTTTCTGTGGATGGGTTGCTGTGTGTATGCATGGTTTATTTCTTCTGAATGACTGGTAGCCGGAGGGATGAAATAAGGCCATACGCAATACACAAGCACCCTCCAAAATTCAGGGCAGGCAAAATGTGACCTTCTAGAAGCTCCTGGACTGCAATATGCCATTCCTAACAAGCACAGCCAATGATAATGAAGTTGTAGTCTGAGAACATCTGGAGAACCTGTACCTTCTGTATTTCTAGAAGACTGCATGTACAACAACTCCTAAGGGAAAGAACACTGGGCATTTTTCCATCCAATCACGGAGCTGCTTCAAGTGCTGAAGACCCTGCCTGTCCACCAGGACAGAGCTAAAGAGATCAGGAAGCTCCCCTTTCCTTGGCTCAGGTTCTGGGTCAAGAGTGTGGAAAAGCAGCTTTTTAGACTGCAATTCCACAAATCCCCCAGCAGATGGATTCTGGATAATCCAAGAATGCAATTTCCTTTCATTTACTGTAATTATACACAGAGATCCAAATTGTCCATATCCACAGCCTGATACACCCAATAGATCCGCTAATCTGGTTCGATTCCTCCATCTTTAAAAAAAACACCAGAGGCCATCTTTGGACCTTCTGCCCACACCGTCCTCCCTTGCCCCACCTGCTATGCCAGACTCACCGATTTGTGCCTTTTCTTCTTGTTTTTCTTCTTCTGCCTCTTGGAGCGTCTGGTGCTGTGTTCTGTGGGAAGAGGTGGGGAGGAGGCAAGAAAGGGACAAAACGTGGATGCTTGCCTTTAGCCAACATGTACAACGGGTCAGTCTAGTCCAACTTGATAGCCCATGAGTGAGTGGCAACAAGGACGTACAGGAGATCAGGATCTTATGAGATCCACATACACTCCTTAGTTAGAAAATTATGGACTTCTGCAAGAGCCAATGTATTTCTGGAAAGCGAGTGGGATTCCATAAAAGGAAGGAAATAAAGTATATCCAGTGTTCTCCATGGTGGGTGGGAGCACATTGAGCTATATATGTTATTCTTCTTTAGATTTTTATTTTAAATGTATGATAGTTGTTAAATAAAACTTAAAAAGAAAGAAAAGCAAGGACTCTCCCCGTTAGAAAAAGTTAAGGAAATAATGAGTGGTCAGTTGGGGATGCTGTAGTGGTCTCTTTCCTGCAATGACAGAAGGTTGGACTGGGTTACCTCTGAGAATCCTTCCAACTCTCTACATCATACGGATTATGAACCTTCTTCCCATATGTATCATCAACATATTTGGACTCTGCTTAAGGACACCACACCAATGGGGCAGGGCCTAATGGTGGACCCATTGTTTACCTCCCAAATGCACACCTGAATCAGGTGATGAAGATGCCCCTGAACCAGCTGATTCCGAATGGTTCCGTTTCTTGCGCTTGGCTGGGCGATGGGCATGATCCGAGCCAGACTCTGAGCCCTATGGAGGAGAAACTTGAAATCACTGGAAAGCCACTGCCAGAGGGGGAAGAGATTCCAGCTAAACCACAGATGGCAGGGCTGTGCATCAATAAAAAGACCAAAATCATCATCGGGAGGAGGGATAGGCTTTCGAAGAATCTCACTCCCCTTCTGGACTAGTTTGCCACACAACCCTAGCTTTTGGAACAATGCATTAGGACTAGAGATGGGAATGACTCACCATTTTGGTGAGTCGTCAAAAGTTGACAACTCTGGAACCCACAAATATGAAGGGACGAATATTTAACGAATTGGCTATTTTTGTTGAAAAAGCTGATCCATTTTTATATTCGTCCCCATCTCTAATTAGGACTGATCATCTGTCACAATCTTCCGCAAGTCAACACTCACTAGAGGTGCTGGACTACAATCCCATGATCACCAGCTAACAGGTCCATGGGCATGATGGCTAAGGATGGTGGAGAGATTTAGTTTCTTCACTTGGCAGAGCCCTGGCTTGGAGTAAGTTGGTTTTACAACCATCAGCTTGCATGCAGGAGCAATGCACTGCCTGTTTTGGAGGTAACAGATCATCTGCAGGAGTTATCCATTTGTCAGATGTATTCCTGAACTCTTCAAGAGCACGCGTGTGACTGTGCATGAGTGCGCCTACGCCCCGTGGGTAATTTGATCTCATCCATCCATACGACAGAATGAGACAGTAGAAACCTGGGGTTGTAGGAGACAGACCATACCACTTTGGATTATGCACGTGTGTGCAAAATAGGCCAGTTTCACATTTAATGTGTTGTTTTTAAATAAACAATTCTCTGAGAGTAATACCATCTATGATGCAAGAGGAGAAAGACCCTAGTCTAACACAGGTGTTCTGTGCTATTCTTCTAACATACATGAAGTTGTATTTGTGGGTTTGCTTTAAATAATGTGACTCCCCCCCATCTGAAATGTCACAGTCCGGTCTACCATCTCATTTTTTTCACAGGGGATGCCACTTCCCCTCCCCCCACCAAAAGTGACACCATCCATTTTGCCATGTCTGGACTTCGAGTCATGTGTATGCCACAGCATTTCTCCTGGGTTCCTGCTACAAAACTGCCAATGAGCACTAAAACAGACCTGGGGGAGAATGCTTTCCACTTGCCTTCATCCAATAACCCTCACCCCCTCCTCTTCGGACTTTAGCCAACTTCCCTCCCCACCTGCCACCCCACCCATCTCACCGAGGCAGAGCGCTTGCGATGGTGCTTCTTGGGCTTCTTGGTGTGTTTCTTGGCCTTGGCGTGGAAGTGCTGGCACTCCGTCTGTGGGAAGCCAAGAGGGAGAGCAAAAAGGGCACGCTGGTTCAGAACCAGACTGCCTGCGACCTTCTCCTCCACCCCTGCTGCCAATCCCATTATTTCTGGCACACAAATCCTTAAGCAGGAATTTCCCACTGCATTTCGATCAGCCTAGTCCTCCTCGTCACCCGCTCCTCACCTCCAGCAGTTGCACGAACTCACGGAAGAGGCGGATCCGCTCCGACTCCAGCGTGATCTGCTCAAAAGCAATGTTGTTGACAAACCGCTCTCGGACCTGGCAGGGAAAGTAAAGAGGTATGGATTGCACCCTGTCCAGGAAAATGAAAGGCCCTGGGAGGGTCACACATGATTTCGTATTGCTTAAGGAGAATGGGATGGGATGTTATGTGCCATCAAGTCAGAATCGACTTATAGTGACCCTAATAGGGTTTTTGAGGTAAGTGAGGAATTTAAGGAGTGGTTTTAAGTTCCACATCCCCCACCAGTGAGTTTCAATGTCTGAGGGGGGACCTGAACCCAGGACTCTTAAGTCCTTGTCCATCACATTGGGTATTACGGAGGATAGTGGGAAGAATTGTGCTAAACACCTCCATGTTTCCTGAAGTGTCTGTATCAAAAAAGTAACATTATAACTGTTTTTACAACAACAACAACAACAACAAACAAAGTAACATTATAACTGCTTTTTTTACAACAACAACAACAACAACAAAAACCAACACCACCAAGAGCAGACTAATTAAAGACTCCCTGGGTACCTTAACTCACGGAGTTATCCAGCTAGCAATGGCAGGCTACAAGCTTACCTTCTTCCAATAAGCAAGGCATGTAAAAGCACAGGTAGCATTCTGCTAAGAGTGGAAAATCCCCATGTTTCCAAATGCAAGAAAATAAATGGCAAAGCCAAGCTGATTTGTTGTCGTTTCTCAAATGCTGTAGTGCTTCTCTATCTTCTTTACCCAGGTGTGCTGATATCCAAGCCACAATCCCTCCCAAACCCCTACTGGACTCCTTCTTCCAGTTCTACAGAGGAGGAACACCAAGGCTGACACACAATCAGTTAGCACAAGGCCAAGTCTTCAGAGGAGGTTTTTTTGACTCTCATTATTTCTAAAATACTCTGAGTCCGAAACCCTTGGCAATTCTGCACATTGCCCAGAGACCAGCAGCTGATGCCAATCGATGTCCCGCTTGCCCCTCTTCTGCAGAATCTGGCAAGGTTTGTGCCAGCCCTCAGTGACAGAGGTCAATTCACCTCATCCCAGGTGGTGGTGGGTTCCAGTGGGGGAGCTGCCTGCCTCAACATGCCCTTGAACGCAGCCTCCTTGCGCCGCATCTTGCGGGTTTCTTCCTTCTCCCGCTCGCGCTCCCGTGCCTCGGCCTTCTCCAGCAGCTAAGGGGCAGGGTGGAGGAGAGAGAGGCATTCGATTATTGAATGAACTTTAATGTTTATAGCCTGCCCTAGATCATAGGATCTCAGGGTGTGTTACAAAGCTATATAAAGCCATATTGAAACATAAGATACTTAAAAACAATTTAAAATCAAAGAACACAAAATTCAAACATTAAAAATATGGCACTAAAACCTGCAGGGATGATCACACACCACTTCTGTGATGGGGCCCAAGAGTCTCTCTGAGTATCCTCCTAATCCAGAGACCCTGAAGACATGGGAGGGAAACACTTTCATATCAAGGGCCAAAGTCTCATTTCATTTTCCCGCTTTCATGTTCATTCATTTTCCCTAGCTATGGCTAAGAGACAATCCATGGACTTGTCCCATCATTTTTTTTAAAAAAAAAAAGCCATCTAAGGCAGAAGATGGAAAATCCTCTGGTCCCATTAGGTATGTTCAGTGAAGGAATATTCTCCCCTGTCTGTCTTCGACTTATAGCCTAGCATTTGCATTGGCTGATACTACCGTGTCCTAGTAGAACTGAAAGCTGTGGGTGGAGGCAATACAATGAGCTCTTTATAATGTCTTTCCTATGTTTGCATTACTCCTAATTAATCATGTGCCCCCCCCAGATGTGGTTGGACTGCAACTTCCATCTGCCACAGCCAGCACAGCTGGGGCTGATGGCAGATGACGGGAGCTGCAGTCCATCCATGTCTGAAGAGTCTCACATTCCTCATTCCCTGACTCCCAGCTGAGGAGCACAAGTAATTGTTCTGATTGAGACAAGTGGGTCCCTGCCTCCCAGCTCACCTACTTATCAGAACACATTCCCCATATCGATTACAGATGCCCCACTGAACCCTGTCCCACTCACACTGTTGAAGGTCAGCTTAATGTTGCCAGCATCCAGGGTGGCCGCACGCTTATCGAAACTGATAACATGAGCAAAATCCTCAAAAGTGGTCTTGACTTCCACGCTGAAACTCCGATCCTAGCAAAGGAAGGAGGAGAAGAAAGAAGAATGTGATTAGAAATTCTTCCTGTGGGCTGCATCACATCTCCTTCTGAGCTATGCAAAAAAGGGGAAAGGAAGACAGAACAGAAAAAGAACCTGCCATTAACACCTAAGATGCCTCCGTAAGAAACATCAAGCTTGATCATTCCCTGATTGCTTTTCTTGACTGAGCCTAAAGCATTTGCTTGGCCCTTTGTGACCTTTTAAGAATATGTTGCTGCTTCTGAATTTCTCTTTAATGCAGGCTTTGCCAACAAAGTGCCTTCCGGCTGTCTTAATCTATAATCTCATCATCCTTGATCTTTAGTTCTGTTGCTTGGGGCTGAGGGGAATTATCATTTACAACAACTGGTGTGTCCCAGATTGGGCAAAGCTAGTTCAACTATATTCTACTGGAGTAATTGTATTCATGTTCCAAGTTGTTCCTAACAGTGCCAAACCACCAAGATGGGCTGACTGTTATGTGCCATCTAGTTGGAAACCGACATGCATCAACCTCAATAGGGCTTTCCAGGCAAATGAGATATTTAAAGAGAGGTTTAAGCAGTTCCACCCCCTCAGTCAATTTATGTGGACAAGTGGGGATTTGAATCCTGTTCTCCAGAGTCTTTGACCATCACTCCATCCACTACACCACACTGAGTATCTTGACTACACATGTTTCCTTTTAACATAAAACCAACACAATTCACACCACACTGAGTATCTCGACTACACGTTTCCTTTTAACATAAAACCAACACAATTACTCCAACATGGCAGACTTTCAAACGATGCTGTGGATTCGCTTCTAAGACAAAGATGCTTCTGGGAAAAGGATCTATTCCTGTAAGGAGGAAACTCTAAAACAGAGAGGCCTGTGGAGTTTCCTTCAACTTGTGCCCCTCTGGTGTGCACTCTGCACCTTCAGGATATCCTTGATGATCTTCTTTTCATCATGGAAGCGGGCCTTGAGGTCTTCCACATAGAACTTGAAGAGGTCCAATGGGGTGGAGCCTGTGAGCAGAGGAACACATGACCACAACTCATTAGCAGGGCCTTCCACTTCAAAGGTTTTGGCCATGGTGATTGTCAAACCGCCCTGGGGTTCCTTTGGATGTTTTTTCAGAGATCTACCACTGGGAATTTCTGGAGATAAACCCAAGAGTCAGAACGACCTCCCTGGAAGACAAATCGCCCCCTTCTTCTCTTCAGCAGCAGCAGCTAGAGACTGTGTCATACAGCCATTGTTCTCCACCTTTAGCCCATTGGGTTTTTGGACTTCAGCTCCCAGAACCCTTGGCGATTGGCCACCCTGGCTGGGGTTTCTGGGAGCCACAATCCATAACACAGAGCAGGTCTAAGGTTGAGCATCACACTTTTACTGCATAAGCACATTCTCAATTCAGGCAGGGTGACTCTGAGGCTTAATGGGCCATGACAGCACCCTGCCTTAGAATAAAACAGTCTCCTTATTCTTTACAGTCCAAACATTTAGTGGCAGTTTGTGAAGGAAAATGCCACGATGGAAAAGACTTTTAGAAAAGCAGTGAAGTAAGGCTGTAAGAGTGGCCTAGAACCACCTTGCTCCCTACCCAACACGGGCAGGGAATGAGAGGAATCAGAGTTCAAAAACATCTAGGGAGCTAAATTAGGGAAGGCTGCTTAAGCTGAGCTTTGCCTCAAGGGCTTCCAGGACATCCCAGCTTCAATTTCCAGCACTTCCAGCTAAAGGACCTCAAGAGTTGGATCGGTTCTTCTGTTGCAAATGCTGAGGACTGAGCATTGGGATGGCCAACCTACAGAGTCTGATGACTCCCACTGAACAAGTGGCAGATGTAAAAGCAGCAATCCAAATTCCCTGAATCTCCTGGCTGAGGAGGGGGAGGTAAGCAAACCATTTTTCTGGGCTGGAGAATAAAAACCCTCCTCTGGTCACTGCTCTAGGCTGCATGCAGATGATGGGCGGAGCTGAGGCAGTGGTAGATCGGGCCAGAGCCATCCCTGTCCTTCCTCTTACCCCTTCTCTATCCCCCCCCATGCCACCTCTGACTATTTTCCCCTGTTCTTTCCCGTGACTGACAAACATCAGCCCTGACAGAAGCTACACTGGACAAGTTCTGTGGTCAACAGCTTTGTTCCAGGAGCCAGGAGAACATCCCTGCCAAGCAACCCAAAACTCAACCAGGGATTTTGCTGTCAAAGCAATGGTGGCAGAGCACAGCATTTTACCCATACCTCAGGAAGCCGGGTCCCTACTTGCGTATCTAACTTCGTATTCACATCTCCTGCTCTAGAACGGGTGGTTTTCTCTTTCAGTTGATCCCAAAGGCCACCCACTGGGTTCCTTCCCATTAATCTTCTTGCAAAGGACCATGGTCAATAGCAAAGCAGGGTGGAGGTGGGAGTTAGGGTGGGGGTTCCTGGCGACTTAAGCTGCTTACCAGGCTGGCCCAACATGTTGGCAAACCGTCTGTCAGTGCTGAGGGAGGGGTACAGCTCCATCCAAGTGGACATGGAGTGCAGGCGCCCGCTTTCATGAAGCTCGTCCAAGAAGGCCTGAGCAAGAAGCAGCCTGGTTATGCTACGATAGAGCGAGAGAGATCGGGGAGTCAGCCCCTCCCCCGTTCACAGGCCCTGCTTGAGGGGTGTGTGTGTATCCCTCAAAACAGGCCTTGAATCCTCACACTCCCCTCTAGGACCCTACACAGTTTGATCAAAATTCGTTTGTTTTTTCCCCCCAGGTCAGAACGGGAGCACCCCTAGAGTGCAGATTACACAGTGGGATTATAAGTGTGCTGCAAAATTCAGCTTCAAAATGGAAAAAAAAGGGGTGGGCTGGGATTTCCAGATCTTACGACCAAGGAAAGGTTCCTAGCTGCATGTAGGTAATACTCACTGAAAATAACATTTCGCCTATCTGCTGGAAATCTTACTTAGCAGGATCCTAGCCTGTCTAATTTCCCCAGGCACTTCTAGCACTTCCTAGCATATACCAGTCCATACAACGACTAAAAACTGGGTGGGGAGGCAGGGGGGGAGGAGAGGAAAGCAAATGAAAGTTCCAATTGCCAGGAAGCTGTATATTCTGTTACGGCAACCATATTCAACCTGCCCACATTCTGAACCACTGGCTTCTAACCTGCAACCCAAGAAAACCAGCGAGTGCTGCTCTAATATTACATAAAACTGATTCAGTCTTGACTGGAAATGTGTGATCCTCTGGCCTGTTCACGCTATGAAGGCAGGCAGCATGAATATTAAGTAAATGTACTTAAAATGAGGAAAAAGGCTCACAGGCAAAGCTGGCTTATACAGATCAACCTATTTCAGGAAGAGGGAACACACTGAGGGCTGCATTTTGCCCACTCCTTATCCAGCCCCTTGTGATTTACTCCGGCAGTGGCCCATCAGGAGCTCAAGGGATAAAGGCATCCTCATCCGGGAGGTCCCTAGCATTGAAAATAAGATCTTCTGTACGTAAAGGCACGCGCAGCTCTACTGCTGAGCTGTGGTGGCTCTGCAAAGCACACACATACACACATACACAATAGCTTAGTGTCCTCCCACTGCCTGTACGGCTCCACTCAAGGCATTCCCTGCAGCTACCTGGAAGGCCTCCCGGTTCTTGCGCTGCTGGCGCCTCTCCCGTAGTCGGCCACGCTCGCGCTCCTCCTCCTCCTCTCTTTCCAGCGTCCGAATGTGCTCCTCAAAGCAGATCAAAGCATCCTCCTTGTCCATGTCTGAAAGAGACAGAGGTGGTGGTGGGGGGTTTGAGCTCAGTGGGGCCGTAAATCCAAAACAACACTGAGGGATTTGAGGGGACACATCATGTCAGAGAGCAAAGGACCAGGTCACAGCAGAGGCGGGCAGGGCAAGGTAGGGGAACCTAACCCAACCTCTGGTACGGGGTGGAGGTTTGGCTGAAGAAAAAGGCCAGTCCTAGACTTCCGAAGGCTAGTCCCAGCTCCAACAGCTGACCAAGCCCACGATCCACTTCTTGTAACTTCTGGAAGGCAGCAACAAGTTTAAAATATGCTCCGGAGGAAATCAAGAAGCTGATGCCAAATGACCAAGCTAAGAGATTTCACCTGTTTCAGGGTCGGTGAAAGAGTACTCAAGGCCCCCACCTCTCTATTTGATTTAAGACTGAACAGAGGACAATTTAAATATGAATGCATATAAGGGGGGTTTTTTATCTTGCAAACCAAAGGGATTTGACTCAGCTTGAGAGTTTTTTGTGCCAATATGGCTGCCACATAATTTCTGTTTACAGGAGTGAATAATTTTTTTCTACCTTTCTGTATACTTTAAGGTAATATTTTTAATAGAAGGACAAAGTGAGAAGAAACAGAATTAAGTACATTTCAAGAGGGGCATCTGAAGGGCTGGGGGGGCACCTCACCCCAACATTTAGGGGGTTGCCCTGATCAGGAGTTGCCTAAGGCTTGGCAGGATTAATTTTTCAAACATTTCCTGCTTTGGCTACAACAGGGAAAAAAAGCCATGCTAGGACCCACAGCTCTAGAAGTAGGGCCTTCCTCTCATTCTGTGAGATTTCAGGAGGCACTGCCAGCATGCCATTCCTTCCAAAGACTTAAGGCAGGGCAGCCAACACATTGCCAAAGGCCCAAGTGAGGCTTCTGAGAAGCCCTGGGCCCTTTGGTACCTTTCCTGCACTTTTTCAGTTGTTGCTTTTTAAGCGGGCTGATAAAAAAGACTTTTTGTGCCCTCCAGAGAATGAGGGGAATGTTGCCATGTTTTGAGGGGCCTCAGCATCCTAACCCTATCCTAGCCCCCAACTTCTTTTAAAAAATGATGAATTTAATGGCTGGGACAAAGTTTTCAAATTTGGTTGTGAAATTCTGATCTAGGAGGACAGGGCAGCTGCCGATTGTGGAGGAAGGAAGGAAGGGCAGCAGAGAAGACACAGAGCAGGGACAACAGGGAAGGGGGGAAAGGCGCCGCCTCACTTTGCAGATCCTCATCCTCGGCAAAGCTGGGGTTGTCCATCAGGTACTGCTGGGCCTCGGACCAGGTGGTCTGGAAGCTGACCCGGCTCATGCTGTCCAGGATGCTCTTCAGAGCCTGGATGTTCCTCTTCCGCAGCTGCTTGGCATGCTCCTGGATGGGTGGCAGGGGACAGTGTTGGGCTGGCACCCATGCCAGCCGCCCAGGACTCCAGCCCAGGCTACTACCCCCCACCCCACCGCCGCCCAAAACCTTGGTAGCAGCAGGGAGTGGCCTATCGTTCACAAGTCCTGGGGAGGTGACAGCACTGAGCAGGGAGAGCTGGGAAGACTGCCCTGCCATTCTCTTCTTGGCTACAAACAAGCCCAGCTCTTCCTCTTCCTCACGCTTGTGGGTGATGCTACAATTTGCATGCTTGTCTGCTTTTACCTTCTCCTTTTTGGCTAGGAAAAAAAGGACATCATCATAGATCTCTTTGCGGTCATGCTCAGGCACCACAGCCCAGACTTCCAGCTCCCCAAACATCTGCTCAGCTTTCCTGGGAAGTAGAGAATAACAAAAGGGAGAAAGAAAGGGAGGGAGGGAGGGAGGGAGGAAGGAAGGAAAGAAGGAAAGAAGGAAGGAAAGAAGGAAAGAAGGAAAGAAGGAAAGAAAGAAGGAAAGAAGGAAAGAAAGAAGGAAAGAAGGAAAGAAGGA